AAACATATATCAAAACAGCATATGTAATGCATTTGAAAATTTATGCCATGGAATTCCTTATTCGGTTACCAGATTCTCTTAGTCTCACGCTTGTGTTATTCCTGGTTGTTGTTGACGTCTTCCATTCGTAAATGTAGGTGCATTCTGCGTGCCAATTGAGTCGACGACCCACTTATTCTCCTGTTATTTTCGCCTCCTGGTTCTTTCACATACTACTCCCCTTAGTCCCCTGCACACAAAGTACTCTCAGGCTAGATGCAAGTCTGAAAAAAGGCCGAGAGTTATGTATGGAAGGTCGGATCCACTGGCCGTGATGTGAATATTTTGACCCTAGAAAGCGTTTTCGCCCACGTCAATAACTACAGAATCATTGGACACTTTGGTGCTGGAATTCAGAGTCAGCGTCATGATTTAGGATTGGAGTGTAAGTGGTAAGTAAGCGACACCGAGAACCTGAAATGCTTCACAAGTCCATTCGAAAACAGTGTTCGACTATGAAGCAATTCGAACGGGATTAAGCTATACTGAAAACGCTGGAAAGTTCGAAAGACTCTTAATCTCATACTGTTCAATAATGAATATGTTTTTTGTGATAGTAATAATTTTTTTATCAGTAACCATAAGTTAAGTGAGGCATGCTGATTCGCGAACAAGATCAAATCGTTATAAATGTTACGTTATTTCTTTAGGCTAACTCGTTTGCCGATTTGCTTTAGCACATTCTAACAAGACGTTTTCTGCAGAAGCGAGATAAGATGTCTGTGCGTAAATAAGTGTTGTTGGATTAAATTTGGTAGTTCATGCTGTAGGCATCACATTGTTTGTAAAACAGACAAAACCGTTCATATATTTTGATGTTTCTCTCTAATGGTCTCCAGTTAGTTGATATAAGGGCTTTTATTATAAGAAGAGTTTGTGTCGGAAGTACAGAGGTATTCAGAGAAATCCTGAGCAACCAATAAAGGGGAAATAAAGCGAGCAAGGAGGAGGTAAAAAAACTTTATTAGAACATAAGGGAAAAATAATAGGGAAGAACACCAAAAGTTTCCTCGTTCGACTGCCATGGAGAAATGATACGAATATTCTCCTTTTTGTCTTTCTATGTTTGAAATGTCTGATTTGTTTTCAGTAATTCCATATTCTGAATTATTTAACTGTACGTTCATTCTTCAGAATCTTATGATAGTTATGGTTTCAGAAAAAATCATTTTTGCATAACCAACCTGCTGACTGCGGTGGACAGATGGACAAGCATGCTTGATCACAAGGGGAAGGTTGATTCGTTTGCCCTGATTTTTCAAAAGCTTTTGATAGGGCCAACCATATATGTCTTATCAATAAGCTCAAACGATTAGGTATCAGACCACCTCTAACCTACACTAAGGTCAGGGTTAACTTCACTTTCTCTCAGGCTATGGATTTTCCTAGTGGGATTCCCCAGGGCTCAGTACTAGAATTTCTTCTCTTCTTGATTTAAATAAACGAACTTCCACAACATGTATCGTCAGACTTATTAATGTTTGTTGATGATGTGAAACTTTGGAGCGAGGTATGCAACCAGGAGGACATACTAGCACTTCAGGGGGATCTGATTCGACTTCAAAGTTAGACAGACGATAAAGAACTTACCTTAGTACTTCAGAGTGTAAAGTAGTCCGTATGAGACATGTTGCAGACTACAATTAGAACTTAATAAGCTCTTCTCTAGAAGTGTCCCGAATTGAAAAAGATTTGGGAGTTCTGGTACCTACGATTTGAAGTTTCACGTTAACTGTGACAAAAATGCCTTTCGAGTAAACCCCGCACAAGTAACATTGAAGCTCATTTCTGGCCAGTTTGACTGAAGAACTTTCCACATAATCTTCAACAGTTTTGTTCGTCTACATTTAGCGTACGGAAACATAGTATTTCCTCCCTCACTCCAAAACGATAAGAACACTCTGGAGCGTATCCAACGGCAAGCCACAAAGTTAGTTTGAGGACTGAAATCGTACAAAGAGTGCCTCCAATCACTTGACCTTTACCCATTAAAGTATAGGCATCTTATAGGTGATGATCTAATGGCATACAAAATTCTTACCACTTCTGGACACTCCCTTACACACCTACTTAAGCTTATTCCCAATACAAACCAAAGGTTTAACACCCAGAAATTAGAGATACAACATAGCAAGACGGAATGTAGACACAACTTCTACTCCTTAAGAGTTGTCAAATGCTGGAATCCGCTGCCGACTGAACTAGTCCAAGCGACTTCCCAGGAGTCCTTCAAGAGGAAACTTGACCTATTCTTAAGGACTAAGGATAAAATTTTATCATGATTTACCAATTTCTTTTTTCTTCTATTATCGTTAATATACCTAGGTTCCTGTCTGGAGTTATTGGTGATCCACTGCCACTAGACACGGAAGCCCGTTATGCGAAAGCTTCCTCTATTCCGTCCACAAGCATTTGAGCCAATTGAACTTTGTTCCTATGACGTAATATTTTGCTAGGAAAATTAAATGAATTGTTACCAAGATGGTTATAAAGTCTTCAAATTATAGCATTTCAACAATTTACTATTTATGATTTCATCTCTTTTAAACAAGGAAGAAATCAGAGTTTCTATGGTGATGAAAGTATATATTGCTTATGATGATGATTCAATTATAACAGAATGGTTAATGTGACCTAGATGTGGTGTTTGAACGTTACAACATCGCACTCACCGTTTACTGCCCGGACCCAAAATCCTGATTGAAAATGGCAATATTTCCACCTGAAGGATAAATTCATTTGAAGTAAGGCATACGTAGATGGCCGACGTCGTCTCCTTTGCCTAGGTTGTGTTGGCGAGTTAGAAGTTGTATGCTCTTCAGAAGAATGATTATTACTATCATCATCTACATCCTGAACGCAAGCATCTGACTCTGACGAACAGCATTTACGTCCATATGTACAGACATATCTCACGAAAAAGTACTTTAGAGTTGGATCAGCACTGTTCTTTTTGCATACTGACATAACGTACTTAGTATGTGTATACTAAGAAAATAATTATTAACCACAGAAGTCATATTACCTTATGTACTTCTTTCAAACAGGTCTCAAAATTGTCCCAACCTGTAAATCTTCGAGATAACATATCATTGAAGATTCGTCCTATATCATGCATCATCACGATGGCATCGTCTTCGTTATTTGGAGAATGAACGTTACCAGACATGGTGTGGCTGAACTCAATTCAAATCTAAAAATGTCTTGATTTGACCGCTTCTGAAAATTTTCACGAATTGTCGATGTGACGCACCAATCGTTTTGCGACAGTTTGGCCTTCAAGTGCTCGCAACCCCCATTAGTGGACGATACCCCAGGAGCGTTGCCGCACAACAAACAGTCATATTACGCACAAACTGAAGCTCATACTATAGGCTAGACTGTTTGTTTAAAATTAGGGAGGTCGATACCTAGTGTTAGTCATCGATCAAGCTAGTGTTGACAATATAATTAATGCTAATGCTAGAGTGAAAAGACATAATTATCAAACCAGCGGATCGCAATCATAACTGTTTCTTTCGAGAATATTCTATTCAATTTCCGAGCATATGACTAACGAGACTTGCTATAAGTTTTTATCATTACAAAATCATTTGAATGATCATAAAAGATGATTTCGCGAGACTAATTTATGGACGACCTTTGAACGAATCTTGAGTGACCTTGAGAAATATCAGCAATCAACAACCTGTCAGCACAGAGTAAAAATATATTATACAAAATCAAGGAAATAAAGTGGACACACTTCTAATATGTGCTTCAAAAACTTTTCAAGGTTAGAAAGATGTCCAGAGGTTTTAAAATCGTAATGCATGCAGTAGGAGAAATCATCTATACGGCCTCTGGGGCCATGATAAAGTCTCAAAAACTTTCAGCCCTGACCACATAATTTCAATATTAATTATGTGCACTCCGGTTGTTGAGTACACAAAATGCTACTTGTGGATAACGACACAATGCATATAAGCAAGCCTATGTAGGAGTCTGTACGCTCTCCAAACATCCGTATATATTGTAGTATCTGGCTGCAGCCAGTTTCACTGGTGCTTTCATTATCCAGTTCGCGATGGTTGTCATAATTTGCCTTAGTTAGGAATTATATATGGGGTTTTCATCATGAACTGACATCAACTATGATGCCAGAAGTCTATTTAGCCAAATAGATGAAAGGCTTTCGCGTTACAATCCAAGATCTGTTATCTTATACCTGATTGATTCGTCCACAAATTATAGTCTCGCCGTTTTATTTGTTATAGACGCTCAATTATCACGTTTTGTACAAAATTCCTTGTGAGCCGATCGTACGTTAGGATTAAGCACTGAAGTTGGTGCCGTAACCTTGAATTCTCTAAAACGTTTCTGATTGGCTCGTCCATAAATTAGAGTCTCGCCGATGATTTTTATTCAACTAAACACTTACTGCGTAGACTGTAATATGAGCTTGAACAGACCCTATACGTTTAAAATCACCGATCGTTTGATTCTTAATTGTCCAAAATGTTGGGAATGCAATAATTAGCCAAGAATGTTTGAATTTATCTTTGACATTATCACTGAAGTAATATCAGTCGCTTATCATCAGGGTCCCACTGTGGGGGAAAATTTGAAAATAATAGGCGTTTACGCGTAGTTTATACTTTTTCTTTCGGTGGTTTATGTTTATCACAGGAAACGCATACTGTTGCCAAACAGGAAATTCTACATTTCTTGTATTTTCGAGATGGTATTAAAATAAAAGCTAGTTTTTTCAAAGGTCTGATTTGAACTATTAATATTTTCGATGCTTATTCCTTGTTCTGAGCATTGGTGCACAATAACTGGGTAATTTTCAATCAAATTGAGTAGTTATTTACTGATTCCTTTCCTAGACCGTTTATACCTGTTACCAGAGATTCGATTAAATCAGTGTAAGTGATTTTATATTATTCACTCTTACCGACCAAAGCAAAAATACTTATTCCTTTTCAATAAGCAAAGTAAAAAAATACATCAAATATTTCAATTATTCTTCGACTATGTATTTGATAAAGTAAAATATTTAGCTGTATATAGTGAAGCGGATCTTTTTACCACTGAGTTAGCGTAAATATACAAAAGTGAACGAATATATATTCTTTCTAGAAGAAATAATGACAGCTAATTAACTGTATCTTCCATAATAGTCCTCAGCAAATTTCGCACATGGTTTATCCAGACATTCTGATAATGTGTTCTTGCATTCTAAGTAGCATGTCTCTTCACGGAAAGGCATTCGTTGGCATCGATCATCACACATAAGATAACGTTTTAAACAGTCGAGTTTACAGTCGCCTCCAACCAAAATCACTTTATTCACCACCATATTGAGAGATAAGGCTAAAATAAAAATCACCTGAACCTGTAAATGGATGAATCTTATAAATATTTTGTTTAATATATGATTAATGAACTGAATGCAAATGGATTATCTCAAAATATTTACGTTATGGTTGGAATTATAACAGAAATAGCTAACAAAGTTTGTTCATGTAGGAGTACTCAAGCTGCTTATGCTACACACCAGCCATTTTACTGCAACCTTTGTAAAATATAATTACTTTTTCTATTGACTAATGAGAAAGCTTTCGTATAAAAATCTAACTTAAAGTTATCATATGCAAAAGTATTTACCGTCGATTTTTATTCAACTTAAGTTCTATACATGTTTAATATCATTCCGAAGTTATCATCTTAAGGATTTAAAGAATAGTTGTTAAGAGCTTTCTAAGTTAACATTCCAAACCGACTATATCCCGTTATTTCATAGAATTACTCTTCAACTGGTTCTGAGAGTTGTAAAGTAGATTACGTATTTTCGTTAGTAAAATGTTACTGTGCGAATTCAAGATACAGAGACTACTCGGATAAACAACGTTTCAGTTAGTCATTCTGGACCAATCTTTCATTATATTTAAGATGTCTATTTGCTTTTCACGATGTGACAAAGCAATCTATGTCTCAAGCTCTAGTAGATATAAAGTGATAATGTACCGAAACTCCGAGTTTACAGACCAAAATGCAATTGTATTAAGTAGAAACTATTTATCATCTTCCATTAAATAAATGTATCTTAGTGACGGTGTTCTGGTTCATGCAATATAATGTAATTTATGGTAGCTAAGTAACATTCAATAAACAGATTACATTTCTTAGAACAAGTTAAATGAAGTGTGATGTCAATCTACCACTAACCAAGGCAAAAAAAAAACCACCATAAATGGGTTACAGATATAATTTGGAGACTGAAGTGGAACTCATATAGCAACCAGATTTCGTCATCTGATTGGTATAAGATCAAATCCACAACTTCTGGTTTTCATCAACTCATAAGTGCAGTTTTCCAATTTCAGTCATCATTCCCATTTACATAGGTGAAGGTTACATTGGCTTGATCGGTAATTATGATATTATCTAACAAAAGCTATTCAGAAATAAATTACTCTTTTACATAAAAGACCTCATTTCATGGAGCCAAACAGATTGATGATAAGTTATTTTTTGTATTTGAATATCGAGGTATGAAGTTGAAAGAGCATCTATTAGTTTGAATTGCCAATCTATGTATATTTTAATAAATTTTTTCAGATTGTAACTTTGATAAACACGAGGAAGCATTTAAACAGATTGGTGAATGTGAACAGATTCCTGACTTTATGGATGTCAAATGTTGTTATAATATCGTGGTTTAGAATAGATGAAAAGCATCCATGATATCAAGGCCACTATGGTTCACTAACTTCTCCTGTAGCTCTTCTAAAGTTACTGCCGGTCCCAAACCCGGGTAAAGGAAAAGGGTTGGGCATGGGGTTAGCGACCCGATCCCGTAGAAATCTAACGCGCTAAAAAAATCGCTAACCAGAAATAGTTCACTAGTTATAAATCAATACAGTTTGTTACTATTGCTCCTAAGGACCACAAATTTTAAAATTCTGTGAATAAATAGTTAATCGCTAGATGTCAGTCGGATTTATTTGATGATAATTCGGTTATTCTTTAAATATACTTTTCTGATTCATACTAAACTGTATACTACTACCCAAACATTTGTTTTATTTATTAATATTTTTATGAACCGATTGTGCTGAATTTTTTTACTCAAAATACGTTTCTATAGCTAGAGTATATCGGTTTACACAACCATTTTTAGTGGCTATAATTGAAGGTTATTTTAAGGACGTAAACCATTGGACAATAGAGAATAATGAGTTCCAAATCGGTTGAATAATTTATACTTTCTACTGAATCTTCAACTAAAAACCGTTAAATAATAACAGGTTTTCTGTAAATACACAGAAAATATATGGTAGATCACAAAGAAAAAAAATTAAAATTACCTTCATTTCTATAGTACCACAAACCGTTAACTAAATAGGGTAGAATTCTCAGAGTTAAATTTATATGATAAATTAGACGTAGTGGAAATGAGAAAAAAATTTCGTGGTAATTACTGGTAATTTTTGTGTTTGTCTGTAAGTTTAGATTAGAGTTAATTTCTATAAACATGTAATTCAGTCAAATTTAAAGGAAGTAGTTGATAAGTAATTTCCTTTATTACAAAGTAATTAAAGCAATTATTGTATGTGTTGAAAGAGATTATGAATTATTCCATTATCTTTTTTGAAAACAAATAACAAGAATTTTAAAATTGTTGGGATAATTATTGTAAATCTAAATCATTTTAATCCATAATATTTATTTAAGCGAGATCAAGTACAATATTATCATTGCTAAAATCGCCTTCGTCACAATTTTAACGACTATGCTTTTTAAGTAGTGATGACTTTTGTTATCAGTTACTCGTCTTTATTCATTCTACTCTTGAGCATATTATCATATAAAGTACAGTCCTACTTAATATGAGATAGTAATTACTCTAATGACAGATGCCTCCAAATACCCTGGTACGGCTGAGGTTGGGAAGAGTCAGCACTCCCTATCGAAATACTCTCACATGGTCACGCGTATACAGCCACTGTCAGGGAAGTCCTACTCACTGCCCTCTCGAGGCATTATTGTTGTTTACGAAATTGAGAGGACGAAAAGTGAATGTCCGGTGCTTCAACTGGGTTGGTGGACATGGAGAGTCCATCTAGGTGAGTTGGAAAACCTTGATTCCAAACCAATGGTGCACATGGGCTCCAGTATCCTGCGGGAACAAATGGCGTGTGAACCAATCGTTGATCACTGGCTACCATGGGACTGCATCTCCTTACGATGCTCCACTGCCTTCTGGATCAGACCTTTAGGTCAAAGGCTAAAAATACCACCTGCTTTGGTTTGGCACCCGGGCAGTATCACAGCCCTCACATATATCGAATGAGATTTGTGTGCTGCATATGTATTCGGTGCCCCTTTGTACCAATATTTATGTGTTCAAATGAATAATAATAATCTCACACACATAGTTCATTTTATTATCTTAGAGAGAGTAAGAACAAAGATTGGTGCAGAATAATATAAATTCATTTTATTTCGTTAGGTTCTCATCAGCTGCTCACAACCTAAAATATTTAAAATTCAACATTATTACAGATATTGACATACTTATACATAAGAGGGTGATTAAGGATGAATAAATGTATCATGGTGTAGCGAAGATTCCGCACACAAGGATAAAGAATGGTCTGTCTGTGAGAATGCGACTGATGAAATGGAATTGTTTCATTCGTGTAGTTGCTTGATATTTAATTGACACTGGACTACAGATAGATATCTTTCGAACTTTGGAAGTTGAATTAGTTAAAAATTTCCCATGGTTTATTAAGAGTTGAATTACGTTTCTTTTTTGAAAAATAAACAACTCAAAATCGGGCTTTCCATGCTCTTTTAGTTACATAATCCTCAATCATCATTATTCATTCATTCATCAGATTTTAGACTTGTGCTTCTGTTAGTAATCGTAAATTCTCATTCATTTCTTCTTTTTAAGAACATGCAAAATCTCTTTTCAGTGGTACAAAAACTAGCAACAAATTTGAACTAAAATTTGTCATATGACTTCATGGATTTACAAATTTCTTATAATTTCTAAATCACTTTCCATTAAAAGTTGAAGTAGTAGTGTGATTTATGGTATTTAAAGTCCTCTGGAAAAGATGAATTTCTATACGATAATATCTATATTAGTTAATTTTTATTTCAGTTCTTATTGCCTTATCCCATAGATCAATACTTCACTAACATCATGAAGACGAAATGATGATCACTTAGTAATCTCAACTGGCCAAGCCTATATTGTAACCTTTTGCAGTAGTATCCTATGAGGATTTGTTTGTAGTCTGAATTGTTTTATTTAACTATACCTACTTACTCTAGTTCACATTACTTATAGGAAATAATTAGTAATAATCAGTAGGCACCCATTGTAAATTAATATTCTGTTTCAGGATTCTAGCAAACAATTATACAATATTTCAGGAGATGAGTGTCTACTTCTAGTACTTGTAAGACGATCAAACAAATATTAATTTATTAAAGTGCGACTGATCTACAAAATCGATTTCCTCTAGTTATCTATGGTACTTAATCAGATAATTTACTAAATTAGCTATATGTGCTGGTGACAGATGTTTAGTCTTATATGATACATTTTTGTTCATGTAGTTATTAATTTGTTAGTGACAAGTGCTATACGATTTAATTTATTCCAACCTGAATACTGATCAGTGTAAAGAAAATACATAGAAGTTCATATATTCGGATATAGTTTTGATTTATTTTTCATGCATAACAAATCCTCATCTATTGTCTTCGTCTTCTTTCTTGAACCGTGAGAATCACGGTTTTCTGTGGTAAGTATCAGTTTTCTCCAAGTTACATCAAGATCACTAATGTCAACAGGTATGACATTTCCTATACTTTAGAGAAAGCATTTCTTAAAATTCATTGAAAGTGATGGATAAATACTAACTTGAAGTTGATGACTTGATCATTGAAATCCTTATATTCTTAATCACTGACATCGATAGATTATGGAACTTCTGTATCCAACCTGATAGCCAAAAGTGATATCACCTGACAGATATATGGAAAACAAGGTATTGATTAGAAACTTTATGAAATGCAATATTCAGTAAAAAAATTACCAAGTTATTTTTAAGAATTTATACATCATTCTTGTGAATCTAAATAAAGCTATTATGGTTAGTTTTTACAATATAGACGTAAGCAACAATTAGGACTTTGTGATTTTTGAAATTATTTAAGGCTATTAAAAATATTGTGTTTTAGGAATCATAGCACGTGCCATAGTTTTCCAGCGTCTTTTACGTCTATTTTCAACTGTGCTCATTTTATAGCTGTTGGTATTTTTAGGAAATATGGATAATTGGTTTGTTAACAAATGATTTTCAGTGTTATACAACTGTTCGTCAGATGATGAGATCGTTCGACAATTTCTCTCAGCTGTATTTGACGTATGATACTCACTTCTGTTAACCGCTTCACTGATAGATATTTGTTCAAACCACAAATCGGAAAAATATTTCTCAACATCTTGAAAACTCAACTCAGGGAGCTTTGGGATGGACGACTGTGACTGGTCATTAAATTCAGGTTTGTACTTCGATTTGGAATCTTGAAATGAAAAAAAAAAAAAAACAATATTTTAGACCGCTGTCATTAGGAAAAATAAGATTTGAGATTTGAAAATGTCTACTAGAGCTCTATGGTCTAACAATAAGGTAAATATCTTATGTGTGTTTTTAGGGTTTATAAATTTTCTGACAAACGTTATTTAGCATAAAACCTGAGTTAAGGGTCTCCCGTCGACTATCATCAACCGCACAATATTTCTTATTGTTTTGATATTATTTAGCTGAAGCATAAATTATCAAAGTATGATAGCACATTCTATGGAATCACTCAACTTATTATTCTGCAAAAACAAATGTGCGATTCTTACTAATGATCACTAATGTATCTACCCTGATGGAAGCAATGGGGTAATGTTGTTTGTCAAAGGTTTAATGTTGATAATTAATGATCTAATGAAAAAAGCCTGTTATTGATATAGATGATGTCTGAACATATCAACTACTCATGCAGCTGTTATATACTTCATAGTCTACATGTATATTTTTCTATTATAGAGAAAACTCCTAGTGATCGGACTAAAAGATCGAAACATCTTTTTAAAAATGCTGAAAGTTTTATGTTTTATGACCGACAATGAGCAAGATTTTGTCAGATTTTCTAACATATATCTCAGCAACCAAATGTCTAACTACTACGTCCCAATTTATTAAAATCCTATTCATTTTTAAAATGATTATTATGATAGTCATTTAATATTTGTTCTCAACTTACCTAGCTGCAACATCTGAGCTGAATAATATGGTTTTTTGACAGGATAGTTAAGAAAAAAAGATTTAGAAATATTCCAATTTAAAGTAAATATGCAACAGACTTAATTTATTCTTAAAAACAGAGAGATTAGAAATATAAGTATCCAGATGAAGTTCACTAAGAATGAAGAGAATTTTATTCAAGTGAAGTATTTATTTAATTTCTCAGGGTCACACTGAGTCACAGGTCATTATAAATATTCTTACAATTACTGGAAAGGTCAATTATTGTAACACTCAGAAAATAGATGTTGTATGGAATAAAATTATCGATTTTTATCAACAAGTAATTATAATCGAAACAAATGAGACGTGAGCGATGGATTTGTGTGCGTTTAAAAGCAAAAAAAACAAAACAAACTTGTCGTCATTCTTATTATTTTGAACAGAGAAAAGTAGTTTAGTTCACTGGTTAGTGTACAGAATTGTCTTAAATTAGATATGGAGAATTTCATTTAGCTTAAGATAAAATTTACCGCTATAATAATTCTGAATAACTAAAGAAATCAGTAGTTTACTGAATTGTAAAGAAATTTCTTCGGGCGATTTCTTCCACTACCAGAATTCATCTGTTTACACTTGAGATTTTCGTCCTTTTAGTCATTTCAAATGTCACACTGTTCCGTTTTATTAACGTAGTATGACATATTTTTTAACGAGGTAGTGTGACTGTTGTATAGAATAAAAGTCTGAAAAATCATGATAATTTATTTTGTATTTATTAAACTGGGGGATTACTATGATCATGTGTTGAGATACTCAGCTACTCTTAGAATCCTTATTTATTTCTGAGTTTTGTGGTATCAGGTCTTGAAGATAAACAAACTGTGAATTTGGTACACGTTTTCAGAGATATATTTTATTAAAAATATAGTCCTAAATGTCCACTATTCGGAACCCTGGAAATGGGTATGAATACCACATTGATTGAGTGGCCATTAGAAACCATCAGTTATCAGCAATACTACTTGGAGTATAGTAAGTGAAGACTAAACGAACTATCAGTCTCCGTTCCGCCAGCACCACCAAGCTAAGCCTTTTGTGGCAGTGAATTACCGATTTCGTTAATTACTTCTTTAAACTCACTAGACAAGAAAAAGGTCTCATTGCAAAGGAATTTGAACAAGTACGTTATATGA